CGGCGTCGACTCCTCGATTTCGAATTTTTTATGTCTTGTATGTTCCCTGAGAAAAGATATTGCGCAGCTTGAGCTTTGCATAGGGTTTCTGCGGTGAAAAATAGAGACCCACTTGCAAAAGCATGTTGGCACATATGAAAAAACAGGAATAACATCTGCAAAACAATGCGAAAAAGCAACACTTCTGCAATCTGCAATCCAAAGCTCCAGCCGCGTCTCGGCGGCACGTCCGAGAAAGTCGCAGTCGATAGAATCGACGAGAGATCCCGACATGTGCCTGGAGTGGCTCAGGCAGCAAGTTCCTACATCTTTCTCGCAGCGCCTAGTAGGCCGCACGTGTGACGTAAAGAGCGCCTATAAACAGCTTGCAGTGCAAGCTTCGCACATGCGTGGGTATTTGCGATCCTGAAACCGGCAAGCTTAAGATTGCACACTTGCATAGTGTGCCGTTTGGTGTTGTGGCCGTAGTGCATGCCTTCCTTCCGTGTAGCGGGGCGCTGACAGCCATTGGGAACGAAAAGTTTGCATTAGTAATGACAAGTTTTTCGATGATGAGGTGGTCATCACAAAGCGGGCATGTCAGTGAAGTTTTCGATGTTTAGGGAGTCGATCTCATCCGGCAGTGCCAAGGCGAGACGTTTCTGTACGGAACAAGCCTTCACGCACCGCAAAGCTGGGTATGTTGCTCCGCAACGCTCTCGAAAGGGGAGGCCTATCCCCTAATGAAGCTCAGGGTCTGAGAAGCAGCCTCATCTTCGCAGAGCAACAGGTGTGGTGTAGCGACATTACGATGGCAGTAGTACTGGCCCTATCCGACATGCAGTTGAGGGCCATTGAATTCCTGCTGCCGGCCTTCTGCTTCCTGCAATACATGGAGCGCCCTAAACAATCGGTGACCTGTGTGTGTGACGATCCGTAACGACGCAGCGCGCTCGTCGCTATCCAATGCCTTCGTAACAGTGGCCGAGGGCGCCAGGATTGTATCCCAGGCTGTCGACATGGAGGAGACCTTGCAGTGCAGGGCTGCATTCTTTCATGCCCCTACCGATAATGATAATATATGATGGCCTTCAGGCACGCAGATGTTGAAAACCGCGTACGCTTTTTCCCTACCGTAGAATCGACTAACGAGCAGTAACTAAAGCAGGCTCCTGGGAGTCTCCTGTTTACCTTAGACATGCGAGTGTTCCGACACCGCCCACTCCGGTCTGCTCGTCCAGCCCTCCGCAGCGAGCTGGCGTGCAGCCTCCGCAGCTGCACTCAGGCATGGCGCTGCTGGTTCGCCCTCGAGCTCTTGTACTAGCCGGGCTGCTGCGTCGGGGTATCGCTGGCGCCACACCGGGAGCGCATCTGCCCACGCCGCCTAGTATGCTGTCATGATACCCGCTCCGCTCGGCGGCAAAAAAGCAACCTGGCGAGCAGCAGCCCAGTCGTCTCCTTCGCCGGGTCCTTGTCGCCGAGCAGGCCTTCAACTACCGCCCAGACCGCGAGCGTACGGCAGGATGTCGGCTGGGGGTACGTTGCTGAACAAATGCTGTTCACGAGGCGCCGCGCAGAAAAGCGAGGGAGCTGCATGAGTTTCCGAAGTAAGTCGGCCTCAGCATCAATGCGGTTAGCGGCCTGGGTTTTAACGAAGTCGGGGTGCGTCGACGCCGGGTGGCGCATCCCCTCCACCTGCGTTGAAGACCAGCGTTTTGCCCAGGTTGGCCTCGACCCCGGCACGTCGCGGTGACGACCTACACGAGCCCTGCTCGACACCTTCAGCCTACGCATGCCTCGTCGTCCCACAACGAATAAGTGGATGCGTGCGCAAAGATGGCGCGTGTAAAGGGCCGGAGCGATGGGACGGTATCGCGTAGCTTCATGTATACTGACGCGGCGGAAGCTGTCGTAAGCACTTCGCCCATCGAGAGAGAAACGACCGTGGCCCTGGGGTCGAGCTCGCAAGCTGCACGCAGCATCGCCGCCAAGCTGTCAGTACCGGCACGGGTCTGCAGCGCGAACTGAATCGAGCGGGTGGCCGCGTCAAGCTACCAGCCGAAGGTTCGGGGCCTTTGTAGGTGCCCTTGTATTTCCGATTGCGAAAGCTTCCGAAAGACAAGATGGAATGGAGGCGCCCAGGATAGTGGCTGCCCCTGAGAGCCCTTCTGCTCCGCGACCAAACGAGATAGGGAAAGCTTTCGCCTCTTTGTCTGAGAGAGCTTCCTCTCCGAGAATCGAGGTTCAACTTACTTCTGTCCCCAGACTCCTCTGTTAGGTCGGAGGTTCGCAACCGTTACACGGAGCTTCGCAGCCACAGCCCTCCCGCACAGGAGGTTGAGGAGTCCAGAGTTACTTCTTCTTGGATAAGAGTCCAGAAGGAGGTCAGTTCTGATTCGGAGCATGAGGAGGTGGACGATCCCGTGGGTTCCGCAGCAAGGACCAGGTCGGAGGACTGTCTCCCGGTGTGGCGGACTGACTGCCTCACTCAGTACAGCCGCTGCTGGCTACATGCCCCCACGACCGACCATGGGATTATAAGCTGCGGGTTTCTGCAAGTTTGAGTTTCCGGGCGCATGGAAGTGCAAAAGTGAATTATTTCGTTAACGAGCCTCCCCAAGTTGTAACGTGACGAATGAGTTTCAATGATTTGCTTTAGAATAATCCCTATGTTCTTACAGGACCATCGTCTTCCACGGATTCGGACAGGCGCAGCTCCAGGTAAAGCTTGTTGCATCCTTGCTTTCACGGCTTTCGCCCATGCGGCTCCATGTGAGACATAAATGGACGGTTTCATGGCGGTTTGTTGCAGTTCTTGATGTCCCTTTTTGCTGATTTTAGCAAGTCGTGAATTTTTGCAGCTGTTCTGGATGTCGTGTGGCGCAAATCCCTTGTATGTAGTTGGCATAGCTTTTCAAATCAGGTTGTTTAATGTAAGAGACACGTTGGTACCGTAAAGAGGATACATGGAGAAATCTACTGGAGCTATGGCAAGCAAAGCTTCAGCGACGACGGCCGGTGGTTGCGTATGTACTGTTCCGTGTCTTGTATGCTGTATGTTCAGCTTGACCCAAGCAGGTCCGAGCAGAGATACCTCGCCGAGGACTTTGCAGTAAGTTGTCGGGAAACTTGAACTGGTTTCCATGCAATGCTGGACATGTGACCAGCCGCAGGACTTTGTAGCCGCATGATCTGTCCAGCTCTCGGTTGCTTGTGTGATGTTGCCATTTATGCATCCAACACACACACACAACCAACACACACACACAACCAACAAACAAATACACACACACACACAAACAAACAAACAAACAAACAAACAGACACACACACACACACACGTTTTTGCTGGCTTCGCTTCTCCCGAGACCGTCTTGCAGAATAGCAGGGCAAGGCACAGGTTAGAAACATGTCCAAAGCGTTGCATCGATGTCCTTTGCAAGTGTTGGTTTGGATGCACAGTATCCTTTGCACTGGATCAGCCATGCAGCTTGGCCTGCAGAAGCCGGTGCCGCATGCGTTGTTTGCGCCCAGTGGCGGCAAACTGCGTGGCGCGCAGAGGTGGCAAAGACTTAGAAAATCAACCGCGTCGTGGATGCCCATCAGATTCTTGGCTCTGACGATGGCCACATTTCTCATGAAGTTAACCACTGGTTTCTTAGAAGGTGTGGAATCACGGGCAGTTGTGGTCGGGTGTTCTTTAACAGCCTTGAGCTGCAAAGCTTTGTCCACTGTAGATCATCCTGAAGCTTCTCTCGGCCCAGAAGAGTTGTGAGGGCCCCGTCAACCCATGATCGCGACAAGGAGCTGTTGCCCAGCTAGTCGTTTTGTTATTGATGCTTTGAAGGGCTTCTAGGGCTTCTAAATTGAATGAGAGGCACTGAGAAGATTCTGCTGGCCTCGTTGGCGACCGGACTTCGCAGCTGCTTTCGTAGAACCATGAAGCGTCCTAGCACTGCGATCTCGGCTCATGCAAGTGACGACGTCGATTTGGCACTGCAAAAGGCAGACCCCGAGCTAGCAGACATGCTTTTCCGAGAACGCAAACGGCAAGTGCGAAGCATCAACTTAATCGCATCGGAGAACTTCGCATCACCTCATGTGTTCCGCGTGCTCGGTTCCGAGCTGAACAACAAGTACTCCGAAGGCTTGCCAGGGGCACGTTACTACGGAGGAAATGCAGTTATTGATGAGGTGGAGCAGCTGTGTATTGCTCGAGCTTTGGCAGCTTTCCACTTGAGCGAGGAGGAGTGGGCTGTCAACGTGCAACCGTATTCGGGATCTCCTGCAAACTTTGCAGTGTACACAGCATTGCTTGAACCACATGATCGAATCATGGGTCTGAGCCTCGCTGCTGGCGGGCACCTCACGCACGGACATTACACAGCTCAGAGAAAGGTTTCGGCAACGTCCCAGTATTTCGAGTCTATGCCATACACAGTTGATCAACAGACAGGCCTTATTGATTTTGAGAACTTGCGAAGACAGGCGTTGCTGTTTCGACCGCGCCTGATCATTGCAGGGGCGTCTGCGTATCCTAGGCAAATCGATTGGGGGTCCTTCCGTCGCATATGTGATGAGGTAGGTGCGTATCTTTTGGTTGATATGGCCCATATAAGCGGACTGGTTGCCTCGGCAGCACACCCGTCTCCGTTTCTGCATGCCGATGTGGTCACAACGACGACTCACAAATCCTTGCGGGGACCTCGAGGTGGCATGATCTTCTCACGCATCCATTTAGCTAAGAAGATCAACGATGACACTTGGCTCACCTGCTGTTGTTGGTGCTGAGCAAGCATCGCTTTGGCTAATCCTTCTGTCTCGTGTTTTTGAAAACGAGTTTACAGTAGTCGTCCAGATCGTGACGAGCCGGTTTCTCCACATTACCGAGGCGGTTTTTCCTGCACTGCAAGGAGGTCCCCATAATGCAACAATCGGGGCTTTGGCATTTCAGCTGAAGCAGGCCGGGCACTTAGTTCGCGAATTTGGGGAGATTGACGACGAGGCGGTAGATTCGCACATATTTGCACCCAATATCTTGCTTTAGTTTCCATATTACGGCTTACATTGATAGTTACTTGAGATTAGTACCTCGACTTTTCAGGTGAAGACTCCTGAGTTCAAGAAGTATTGTGAGGATGTTGTAACGAACTGCAAAGCATTGGCTGCGTACCTGGCCAGCCATGGATGCTCCTTAGTTACTGGAGGGACGGACAACCACCTTCTTCTTTGGGATGTCAAGACTGACGGTCTATCCGGCGCCAAGATCGAGAAAGTTTGCGAGCTGGCTTCCATCATCGTGTGCTTCGGTTGCGCTTCTTATGCTTCTTATCAGACGTTCCGGTCTTGAAGCCTCTACTCACTCTACTCGTACGACATCTTTAACTTTACATAGAGAAGTTAGGTAACTGGCAGCTTGCTTGCTGGACTCCACCAATACAGATGGATGACCGACGCGCCAAGGAACCGGAATGCAATTCCAACTGACACCTCTCCGGCTTCACCCGGGGGTGTACGCCTTGGTACATGTGCAATGACAACCCGGGGTGCGTGTGAAGCGGACTTTGAACGGATTGGTGCCTTTCTGCTGCGCGTGCGTGACATCGCGAATGATGTGCAATCTCGGCGCGGCACCCAGCAGTGCAGCAGGGCATTCGACTCGTCATAGAAAGTACAGAAGAAACATCTCTGGGGAACAGGTCTGGAAAAAAGCTTGCAGATTTCAGCAAGAGCTTACTAGAGCTTTGGCTGCAGCTTCCAGGCAGTGCTCAGATAGGAGATGCTGCATGTCTGTCGTAAGCAACTCCACGCTTCAAGAAGCCCTTCGATCGAGGATCCCAATCTGCCAGAAAGAGTGGCTTTGCGGCATTGATTTGTCATTCCGCGTTTGATCCCGTTTGCGACACATTCATCGCTGCGAGGATGCGATTTCTGAGCTTCGGTCCGAAGTGGAAACGTGGGCTACATCACTCAGCTTTCCAACGTGATTGTCTTCTCATGCGACATCGATGCGTCTCGAGTCGCTTATGCGTCGACTCTTGTACAGCTCTGATCAAACCCAAAAGGTGCGAGAAAAGTCTGGCAGGTCAGAGAAGGCCACGTCATTACTCTTGCAGAGTTCATTGCGCTGTGCAGCTGGGCTTTGCTTGCATGCTTTGCTTGTGAGCTTAACGTGCGGCTCGAGAGCTGTTGTCACCGTCCTCGTGCCCATCCATCGACAATACGTCAGTATCTAGGCGGCAAGTCGATTGATTAGCCGCAAAGGTGAAGCATGGTCGGCTTACGTGAAGTTTTGAACTCCAGAGCGGGTTTCGATGCTGCATTGCCGAGGAATGGATGCAGGAGCCGCCCAGTATTTACAAGAAAATGTCGGAGGAATCTTAGCAAAGGCACTCGCAGAGATGGCGGTGGTGCAGCCCAAGGAAACCTGGGCAACGGTGGTTGATGCTTGTGCTGCGTCAACTTATTGACACTTCACCGGCTCAAGAAATTGACACGCATGCGCTTTCACCTCTGTAGCTGTGTTTGGCTCAACCGGTTTGCGAAGATGTAGGGAGGGCTCTTGTCAATTTCAACGGAGGTCTGAACTCGCATCGTTCAGCCCTCCCTTGGCTGAGAAGGGCCCAGGCCACTCAGCCATGGAGACAGGGGCAAATGCCAAGGTTGGCTTCATCACCGAGGTTGTATCTAGGCCGGATTATTGTCCCGGTTGTTCAAACAGTCAGACTGGGTGCATTTGCCATGGGTGCTTGTCGCAGTAAGGAAGCTGCAGTGGAGACGCCGGAGGCAGATGCGTCGTCAGCTTTGGTGCAGATGGACGAGACGCCCGAGGCTTTGCCATCTGCCTCTACCACTCATCATGGCGTCTCGCGGGTTGCTTGACAAGATCAGTCTCCTTGAATCAAACTTGTTTCCATCTGCTTGTGCATTCAAGGTTTCTCTACCCTCGATCAACATCTACAATGTAGAGTATGCGGAGCTTCCTGCAGAATGTCATGGCGGTCTTGCAACTCCCGCGCCGCTGCCACCGTCAATCCCTTTGGACAAGATCATGAGCAACATCGAGCCCTGTCCCATGCTTCGTTCGGATTTCTGTTTTGGTAGTGCATCTGAGAGATCTGAGGGCTTTTTGTTTCTTTTCGCCAGAGATCCAGCAAAGGCGCAGAACCTCGACTTGAAGGGCTGGTCAGAGCAAGCTCGTAACTTGTGGTTCAAAGACTTCAAATCCCAGTGCTCTCGTGCGGTCATTCAAGATACATTTTGGTTTTGTATCTGCTGGTATTTCAAGCCTGGCAAACACTTGGACGTGGAGACCCGGCTCTTCGACCGCATCTCTGCCAACTTTGTTGGCCTCTTCAGCTCCTTGAATCCCAGCAGGAAGGACTTCTTCTTCAGATGTTATGCTGATGCTGTTGCCCAGGCCGTTCTCTATGCAATGTTCCTTGCATATCCGAAGTCTCGAATCGATTTCACAGACAAGTTCCGAAAGGATCTAGTGATCCGTATTTCGTACTGGACATCTGGCATATGTCCTGAGTTTGTGGACACATCTCACTGGAAGTTGAATCTCGGTAAGGGGGATGTGCTTCAGGCAGCTCCATCCCAGCCACATCAACGGAATGTAGAAGCTGCGAATGCTGTGGCACTCAGAACAACAGCTACGCAGCCATTGCTGGGGCAGCTTAGCGCTGACTCGCTTGCTGACAAGACTGCCTGGATGGGGCATTTCAACCGTCGCCCTCGTCGCAAGCTTCAGTATTCGCCGCTGGTGGAGAACTTTCTCCGGGCTAAGAAGTACTCCTCTGTGAATTTAGTTCGTGCAACCAGCATGCATATGACAACGGCTGAGCAACGAGCCAAGAAAATGGACGTGAAGCATGCGATGCTGGCCGAACGTGCAACTGCTGCAAGGGAACGGTGCGACAAGCTTTGCAATGAGTATGCCCCTTGTCTGGGTTGGCATGTGCGGACACACTTAAGCGTGGCACGGTGACTGCGACGGACCATCAGAGACCGACAAAGACAAAGCGAAGTTCATGCATGTATGACAATCGGGAAACACAGGTTGGTATAAGGAATAGGCTCAGACTTTCATGGTGGATTGGGTACTGTCGAGCTTGTTTCTGCAAGTACAATGAGTGGCGTTCCATGGTGTTGTTCAGCTTCGTCGGTCAGCATCACAATACCCTGCATTGGCCCCATGCAATAAAAGGGATTGCACATAGCCTTGTTAAATCATCTACACACACACACACACACGCGCACACACGGACACGTGAACAGCATGAGCAGCAGGCCTTGTTGTGCTTGGTGCATGGGTGCCGAGGACGAGCTAGCGGCCGAAGTTCGCAAACAAGAGCGGCAGTGCCAAATGCAGGCACAAGCAGCAAAGAAGCGGCTTGAAATCCGTAGAAAGGAGGTATTGCGATCTGATCCGCATCTCGTTCAAAGTGTAACGCTGCGCGTCACGCTGCATTGCTTGCTCTCTCCATGTTGCTTAGTTTGTGTTTGCAGTGCGTGTGCTCACCGCTTCATGTGCCAGCTAAGGCATGAGTACGCGAACTATTTGGTTTCGCTGCACTTGTTGCAACAAGGGCTTGGGCAGAAAGGATGATGCAAACATACGGACCACGTGGGATTCTGGATCTGCTTTAAGCAAATCCAAGAAGACGATGAAAGTGCTCTGGTGAGGAATGGTTCTGAACAGATGAGCCATTCGTCTTGGCCTGGTCACTTCGATGCTTTCTGTATCACCCGCCAGTTGGCTGCATGACCCGTTACGTGCGAGCTCACGTGGCGACCGTCTCAAAATCTGCTATCAGCTGTCCAAATCAGTAATACCCTTACATTACATTGCTCAACAGAAGCCTGGCAGATGCAGGACGGAGTCGACTTTCTGTCGAAGTGGTTAATGCAATATGCCGAGCAGGAAGAGGCGTGGTGGAATGCTGGAAACTTCTGAGCACCAGCCTTTTGGATCTGTAGGCGAAAGAACAGAAAGAGCAGGTGCACTCCTCGGTGTCAGCATCTTTTGAGTTGTTTGGCAGACGGTGTCCGAACACAGTGCGTGGGCCAGGTGGAGAAAGAGCTGACGCAGCTAAGGTCCCAGACCAGGCCGGTGGCATGCTGCAAGCTGCTGCAAGTGTATGAAGGGCAGGAACATATATCTACAAGACTAGCAGTGATTAGCTGACTAGTTATCGTACGGGCATGATGGAACGGCAGGCCGTTAGATTGCTTGGTCGGTTAGGTCAAAGCGAGACGAGAAGGAGCATTCGAGGCAGGACTTCATGACTTGTCAGACCTCCGAAATTTGCTGTCGCCTCTGAGGCAGCAGAAGCTGTCAGAGACGCAGCAGCTGGAATCCAAGTACAGCTCTCTCTTCGAGAAGTTTAGCAGCGACGAGATGATGTTTGAGGAGACCGTGTCGGCTGAAACGTAGCATCAGGTGTTGAGCTTGGTGCGTCTGAGCATCTCACGAAGGACAAGCTGTGGCAGGAGCTCGTTGATGTCGCGCAAGCAACGGCCGGTGCTTCGGCAGTATACCTGGGCATTCTGGAGCAAGGAGAGGAGGCCAGACAATTTATCAATCGCTCGGGAAAAGACGTAAAGACCTGTCGAACAGGGCGGGGATCCCTCCGGCCCCTACATCAGCCACCTGGTTTCGTGAGGCTTTTCCGAGTTGCAAGTCCGAGAAGCAACCGCTGGTTTCATCCGCCCAGGTTATGAGTATGCCTCCAAAGGATCAGAGTGGATGACGCAACAGACTCTGGCTGAGGGCAAAGGCGGGCCATTTTTTTTCAGAGCTGTAATCAGTCTGTCCTGCTTCGAGGAGTCACCTGGGGCGCCCTTACCGAAAATCCAGCCGACGAAAATTTCAAGGAGAGTGCTGCCAACAGGATCGAGTCATGCTGTGCCACTGGCCAACTCTTCGGAGGATCTTTGCCTTTGGAAGCCGCCAAGTGTAGAGCCGGTACCCGAAGAGCCCGCGGAAGGTGCCTTAAGCAGCGAAGTTGTCATGTCTGGCGCAAAGGCTGACCTCTCGCAACATGCGACTCTTTTTTTTTTTTTTGTGTGTGTGTCTCTGCCAGCCACGAGATCGAACAAACCTCCAGGCAGCATAGTGAAGCTCTGATCCTGGGTCATCTGTAGCCCCGACTCAGCCACGAAGCAGATGACCATCAACATCTAGATCATTGGTTCATTGGTCGGCGCGCAGGAGGTAAGGTAAGGAATGCGGGAGTGAACTGGAAAGACATCCAAGCGAAGCCCGTTGTCTCCGCATGTTTGACTGGGATGAAGTTCCGGAGCAGCTGGGCGGACCCAACAAGGCTGCTTTGCAGGTAGAGGCCGAGGCCGAGGCTCGAGCGGATCGTGAGCCCAGGCGCCTGCTCGCCTGACGTCCTTGTTTCGTCAGGCCGAGCTCCGCACGCGAGAGGTGAAATCCGAGACGCCCGCGGAGCGCGCCGAGCGGCGTCGCCTCGAACGGGCGCATGCCAGCGGCAACAGCACCGGGAGTGCGACAGGCAAGTGCAAGGTCATGTGTTTGGGTTGCTGATTTCTCTAGACTCTAGATTCCAGCTTGTGGCAGATGCTGCAGGCCAATCCAGAGAGCCTAAGCGTGTTGCCGCGAAGCCGCTCTGAAGCAGCCGGAAGTGCGAAGCGCAACGTCCACCTTGTGTTCCGTGTGACCTTAGGAAGACCCAAGCAGCAGACACGCCGACCGAGCGACTTGTCAAGGCTGCTCGCTCTGGAAGCTTGATAGCTGTCATGCGAATACTTCAGACCGGTGTCGACCCGAATGCCGAAAGTCACTTGCCTGGCATTAAAAGCTCCTGTGGCAAGCAAAAGGACAGAGAGAGACCTTCAGAGGAGGCACGCGTTGCTTCGCTTTTTTTTTTTGGTGGGTCTGGGCATGGCCCCTGTGAGGCGAACGCGGCACGTTCGCACTACAGGAAGCCGCGGCAGCAGACAGCTTGGATGCCTG